TAAAATACAGTGGCTTAAATTGGTTATATAAACGTGGTTTAAATTTAATACCGTTGGCTCCACATCAAAAAACAGCTTCCATTTCTGGGTCTGAGGCTCTATTGTCATTTTCTCCTAATAAAGGGGGAGGCAAAAATGGTCAAGGGAAGCCCAATTCCAGTCCTTTAATTGGCAAGACCCAGAAATGTCACAATTCCCTTCTGTTCACATCCCAGTGCACACTACTTAAATGCATGGCTCTAGCTAACTGTAAGTGTAACTGGGATTACAATCTTTGTTACTGAGCGGAACAACTGGCACTTTTCCCATAATTGCCTGCAAAAACTGCTGAACTGTACCCTTTCTTGATAGTTCACATCAATGGCAAAACATCTCACTCCAGCGATTACACTGCAAGTTTTGTATTCTCTTTTTTGAAACATTTAGATAGCTGGGTACAATTTTGTACAGCATGTTTGCACATGTATTCTCTTTTTTGAAACATTTAGATAGCTCAGTACAATTTTGTACAACATGTTTGCACATGTTCTTACATGCTAACCTTTGAAACTTTCTTTACTCATATCCCACTCTATACAAATTACTGTAGAAATAGTTATTCCAATCATGAACTTGGAGTCACAGATGGCATATACTGATGCAATGGGAATGCATATAATGCAATAAATATCATATTATTATGTTCTATAACTTTTTGATATTGATATAAGTACAAGGTTTTCTTTCTAGGAACAGTTCACAACTGTTAAATATGATCAATTCTTAGAACTTCTTCTCTGTTTACCTTTCACACATCCATGGCATTATTTAAATATCACTTGGAATTCCATTTTCTGGCTTTAAAACCCTCTTTGAATGTCCTAGTCCAGCGATGTCCGGTAGAACTTTCTGTGAACACAGAAATGTTCTAGAACTGCACTGTCCAATATGGCAGCTACTGAAGCTTTTGAGTGCTTGTAATGTGACTAGTGTGACTAAGGAACTGAATTTTAAACTTTATTTCATTTTAAAGAATATAAATTTAAATAAACCCACGGGCCAGTAGTCATCATATTAGACAGCACAGTTAGTCATTCCCTGCTCCATTTACAAGCCTATTTCTGCCACATTTATTTTGCTGCATAATATTGCTCCTGAAATGTCCTCAAATGAGTTGAACTACTCAACATCTATTATTTGGTGGTTTATTCTTTGGGTGACAGATTCTATCTTTTCAGTGTGACTTTACTCTAGTTTTAAATAGTCTAATAATAGCAATATAATATTTACTGTACATAAAACGTGTCAGGCACTGTTCTAATCACTTTATATAGAATATATAATTTTACTATCACAAGAAACCTACATATAATTATCACCATTTCATAGTTGTATAAACTGACACATCCACGGGTTAATTAATTTGTTGCCTTTATCTAGTTAAGTGGCTGATCTAGGATGTGAATTCCAGGCAAACTGGCTTTAAATCCCAGGCTCTCCCTCCATTCTTTACTCTTTCATCATTTTGTAGAGTGAGGTTTCCCTTCAGTAGTTCTCTCTATTCAAAAATACATCACATTTGGGGTCTAAGAGCTTTATTTGTGTTATGTGTAGTATTGGAAACTACTGCCCCTAGCAAGAGAGAAGAGAAAAGAACAGTTTCTCTTCTTTTCTGTTCTATCACAATTCACTGAACAGACTGTTTATGAAAAGATGATCCAAAATGTTCCCTAACTTATCTCCACTAATTTGGCACTGCGATCTTATTTTATCAAAATGACACAAAATAAATTAGTTAATATAAGTGATAATGAACAGGTGCTGTATGGTTGCTTCTATTACTACAAAAGATTATTCAGATTTTTTTCTTAGTACACTAACAGGAAGAATTTTAAAGTAGTCAGGATCGATTATTTCCAAAGGGCTATAGTGTTCGGATTTAACTCAGGTCAATCATCTGCAAGTTAAAATTACTTAGAAACGTACTGTCCATAATTAAGTAATCTTACCTACTAATATTACAGAATAAGGATACCTTTAGGTGACATGAAATCTGTCATTTTAAGTACGCCCCGAGGCCTTTTCCAGATTGCTCATAAGATTTCTCATTCTCTAGAGAAATGCTATCTCTAAGAAATAAATGTCTCTGTCAAGTCACAAGTAATATGAGCACATGATGAAAAAATGGAATTTTTTAGTCTCATAAGGGATATTGCAGTATTGTAAAGTTGATTTTATTCCTTGTTATGTAAGTTCTCATGGTCATTTTAGGATTTGCCTTCTGGATAAAAAGGGAAGGTTATGATGCCTTTTAGGGAGGTGGGGTAACAGAGGCCTTTGGGGACCAGGAGAATATTTTTCATATGAAATCTTTGTCATAAAATGCTAATGTTGGTGTTCTTGTCTTTATGTCTATGCATTCTTTAGCTATGAGGATAACAGACCCTTCATCAAGTAAGAATGAGCTGAATGGCTGATAAATTCCATTTATCAGTGTGGTCCCATGAACCAGCTGTCAGATCAGTACTGAAAAATCATTAGAGCTTCTGTCATTCACATTGAGGCAGAAGAGCAAACTGTGCAGGAAAATAAACAGGCATACAACTCGTATGCAGAATAAATATGCTGCAGGTGTATTGCCAAAAACAAATTCTGCTTCACCTCTTTTAATTGGATACCATCTGAAATCAGTGCCACAATCATAGCAACTTCATGTGGTACAGACTTGTTTCGCTTTTAATAGCTTTCTCCTTTCATTGTGTTGTGTACCTCTGTGCTTCATATGTCGTCATTTCTGTTGTTTGTTTGGACATCGCTCATCTAAAATTATTTTGTGATTTAGCCTTGTATCTTCCAAACGATCTTAGGAGTACGAAGCTAGCCAATTGCAATGGATATTAATGAATTTCTATTTTAAATATCCAAAAAGGGAAAAAAATGTCTCCTTCAAAAATTCAATTTTATGTATGCAAAATTACATCTTTCAATGTTGACACATGTCACTTGATTAATGACCTGTTTATGAATATATCTTTTAAATTTCTAAAACAAAGCTACAAGTCTGTACTAATCTAATAAGAATAAACTCAAATGTTGATATTTGGGCTCTTTTCTTTTGTACATTTTAAAATTATGTGTCCTGCCACAATAAATTTAAGATTGGGGCAACCTATGGGTGACCTTACTCTAGACTTTCAGTTTGTTCTTCTGGTGAAGAGTCCTTTGTTTTCATTTTCTCCAATGACATCTCACTTACTTCTTCATGCTCTTGCTTATTTTTTTTCTTTAGAAATTGGGCTCATTGCACTTTTTATATCATTAACTCTTGGGCCCATAATGTGTTTTCTAGCAGATACTAGCTAACTTGAGTATTTTATTCTATCATTTTATTTCTAAATTGAAATAGCAATTTTGCCTTTTTAATGGTATTCTTTCCATTTTTCCTTTTTCCAATGCCTGTAAGAAGCTGAGAGCTTTACCTTGAGAGTTCCAATATTTTTCAATTTAATTATAGAATAAAATATTAGTATCTAAGATGTTTTCTGATTCATATAAGCAAACATGCCACATACAATGGCAAGCCTCCTTTAGGGATTCTTTATTCAATAACGTTAATGTTTTAGATTGAACATGTTAAATTTAGGCGATATTTAAATATGCAATATAGTAACTGATGGTTGTAGAAGAAAAATAGTAAATAGTCATGATGAATTTTAATAAGACTTTAATACTAACTGACTACTTTGGGACCATATCTTTCTTAAGACATAGTGCTCTCCGAAAACTTTATGCAACCCAGCTTCAGATTTGGTAAATACATGTGTGGTTTCTTTTAACCCCTTCATTTTGCAAAGTTTCAATCCCCATAAATATTTCTTCCTTAGACAATGCAAGTGGAAGAGTATAGTCTGCTGAAAGGAAATATTTACTCTTTCAAGGAAGGTGTACTGGGAAAGGACAGGGTGGGTTCATCGGTACATAGAGATCTAGACTGGTTTGGTCCTGTTCTCCTATATACTTAGAGAAGAGTTGAGAAGGATTCCATTTTCACTTATTGGATTCCCATCTATTGGAAAGATTCATTTTATGCTGATAGTAAATACGTAACACACAGCCACAAGTATATGGACCTTTGTCACCCATTGCTCACTATTGCGAATGGCAGCTGGAGGAAACTAAGGGAATGGAGAGTGAGAATTGTCTTCCATTCTAGCCTACTTTGTTCATACCACTCCATCCCATTCTCAGCTTCATTTTCTCCTTCAAGTTTACAGACCCTTCAAAGTGATGAAGGTGCCCTGAGCTTTTAAGCTTCTTTTCAACAAAGCTGCCAATTGCCCGGTTTTCGAAGTCTAGTCCAACTTAACCTAGAAGACAGCAATCCAAAGGCCGAAACAACGCAGATTGTGATCTAGAGTGGAACAATTTTTCCCATCCACTGTATCACACTTGTTTTACATAACTATAGAATCAGACAAATAGAACTTTTAATTCACACATATATTCCATATACTGGTTCTTTTGAATCCAAGCTCTGTTTTTGTCAGTAAACACTAAAATTTTTATGGAAAAAGAGGAAATTTGGAAAAATGGGGTAAAAGTGTATCAGATGAAGCACTAATGGAGAGAGTCCAATCAAACAAACGTTATCATAACAATGAGGCCAGTGGAAACTAACATAGCTTTATAGACTTTTTCCCCCTTGCCATTCACCATAATTACATCTCCATATCATTTGCATACGTGCTGCAAATACATGAATAATTTAATAGTACAAATCTGCTTTGGCTTAAATGAATTTCTGTGTTCATAACATTCTCATTCATGTATATCTCCTCAAGTTTGAAAACTTGTAGTCCCCATTAAAATCTTAAAGTACTTATACTACCACCTGTCTTACATTTTCTGTCAATAAAACTTACCGTAACATTTCTTTCAGTGTCAGTATTGTTGATATGATATGGCTGTGCTAATTAAAAACCGATCATTTGATAACCCTGAATTTTCTTTTCTCTCTACAGGTCATGGGTTATAGGTGCAATAGCCCTTCTCTGCCTATTAGGATTGACCTGGGCCTTTGGACTCATGTATATTAATGAAAGCACAGTCATCATGGCATATCTCTTCACCATATTCAATTCTCTGCAGGGAATGTTTATATTCATTTTCCATTGTGTCCTACAAAAGAAGGTAAGCAAAAATTCTCTATTCAAAAATGAATGGCATATATCTCAGGAGCAAAGCAACCATAACATAAATCATTCTTGATGTTTTGGTCTCTGAGAAATAAGCATATTACTTCATTCGTTTTATTTTTACAATAGTAAGACAAAAGACACATAACAGAAGCATAATAGTTGGTGAATGTGTTTAACAGCAAAATAAAAAATCAAAATATTTTCTGATTTGGATAATGTACAAAAATTATATTCTTGTAGGCTTAACCTTATAGTCTTTAATATTGTTATTGGCAGACACATGGAATTTGTGTATTAGAAGTAGCTTTTCTAAGATGCTATGGAGCTGTGTGGGGGGTGGATATATATATATATATATGTATATATGGCACAAGAAGTATATACTTCTTTGTTTTTCTTTAAAAACCAGTTTGTATATACTGGACAATATGAATGTTTATCATTTTATGATAACATTTATGTTTTTTAAGTGACTGATGACGTACTTAGTAAATGGTCTCTGTACTTTTCTTTAAAAGCATCTTTTATAAAATCTATGAGTTGGATGATTAGGATGCAATATTTAATTTTTCATGCTGGTCTTTTTTGTAATTTTTCACATTTACAAAGATCTAAAATATTCATTTTCAAAGTTAATTTTAGTCACTAAATACTTTCATTGCATTTTTTTAGACATCTCAAGATTGATTTTCTCATCTTGTGCTTTTTAACTCTATTAAAAATGTGATCATTATAGTTCCACTCACATAGACCCCTGAGCCAAGACTGTCTGGGTCTAAATCCTAGTTTCTCTACTTAAAAGCTTATGTGACTTTGGGCAAGTTAATTAACCTGCTCATGCCCCAGTTTCCTCATGTGTAACATGGAGGTAATAAAAATAATTATGAGATATTGAGAGGTGGCTCTGAAAAGGAAATGTCAAAATGTGAAAATTTCATCTAAGAAAGAAACAACACCTAAAATTTTTCTTTGGAAAAAAAAAAAAGTAAAAATATCTATGTCTGTGATTTTTTATTTGAGAGACTGATAGGACCTAAAACAAAACTTGAGGCGGGTATCCACTTGTCAAGATGAGTCCAGTCATATTCTGTTTCAGTTGTATGTGGTGGTAGGTATCAAAAATGTGTTGGCATGATCATAAATAAGGCTAGAATAGTAATGATGACTCAGGCCTATAAATGTAGGTTACAGAAAAGTAAAGAGGTTATAAGGGAATGGATGGATTCTAATCTACTGGATTAGAATTAATTTAGAAAAAAGGTTATATTACAATGGATGAACCTTCCCAAATATTTAGTGCCACCTAAAATTGCAGTTGCTTAACCCCAAAATATTTATTTTTTTACTTATGGCCCAATTGATGGTGGTACCTCATGGAAGGAAGGAAGGCTGATGAAGTCTCAACCAACCTTAATATATGATTTCCACAGTCACCTTGAGTATTGACATGGAGCAGGCAGTCTGAGAAAGAGGATCTTGTGTGAAAGGTCTGAAAGAGGCTTACATCACTTCTACCCCCCTTGCATCAGATAGGACACTATCAATGGTACCACCTAAACTGAAAGGAAGTCTAGAAAACATAGTCTAGCTTTTTTACCTCAGGAAGATGAGGAATTCGGTGTTGTGAACAACTAGCTGTCTACCACACTTGAGGAATGTAAAGAGTAGGACATGTGAATGATGAGTAGGAATAGAGGTGGAAAAAGGAAGTGTCCAAGGAGCAAAATCAGCATCAAGATAATATACTGAATTAAAGATAGGAGAAAATATCCAGAAGTAGACAGCAACCAGTATTAGAAAACATTTCAGAGAAGTCAGGGAGACTAAGCATTTGGGGGAAAAAAAAAAAATTCTAGATTTTGATAGAAGAAAGACATAACTGATTGTCACAAGAAATATATGTAAAAAGATAGGAGCGAAATTGGAGGTTAAGGGAAAAGGTAGCATTTGTCTGTGTAAATAAGGGAATATTGGGCCACCATAAGCAATTTTAACATCTTCAATTATAGTGAGCCAGATTTACCTATTATCTTTATGCATTAGCTAGAAATTTGGAGTAACAAAATTTAAAATTTTAATGTTACATAGAAATTTTCTTTAAAGCAGAAAATATTTTTGGATTTTATGCATTAATTATTTTTATTTTGAGTATTTCTATTAGCCAATATCTCTTAGGGTTTTCCCAATAATTATTTTTATTTTTTCTTATCTTACAAATATACATGGCTGGTGTAAGGAAGAATTGCTTTTGATATACAGGAAGAGATAGTAAACCTCAGGATCCAAAAGCAAGTCTAGAGTTTTTAGTATATTTAACATAAGTAAAATTTTTTTTAAAAGTATGTCATCAAGCTCAATTTTGTGATTTATTAGAACAGACTTCAGCAAACAACAGCTCATGGGTCAAATATATCTAGTTGCCTTTAATTTTTATAGCCAGTCAACCAAGAATGATTTTTATATTTTTAAGTGGTTACATTTAAAATTTAAAATTAAGTATATAAACAGCATCCATAGTTGCCTCTTGGTTGACAAAGCCTGAATATTGACTATCTGGCCCTTCATGAAAAAATTTACCAACCCCTGCTTTAGAAGCTTACTTTTATGATTTATAATAACAAGTAATAAGCATATTATTCTTTCATCTATCTTATGTTTTGAATTTTCTAATTTTGGTGGCATTTTTATTTGGTATCAAGAACATGGCCCATGGGGCGCCTGGGTGGCTCAGGTGGTTAAGTGTCTGCCTTCGGCTCAGGTCATGATCTCAGGGCCCTGGGATCAAGTCCTGCATCAGGCTCCCTGCTCAGGGGAGAGCTTGCTTCTCCTTCTCTCTCTGCTGCTCTCCCTGATTGTGCTCTCTCTGTTAAATAAATAAATAAAATCTTAAAAAAAAAAAAAAAAAAAAGAACATGGCCCAACATCAGAGAATATAGAAAACATGGAATTGTTTACCTTTTTCCTTACAAAACAAACAAACAAAACAGGTAGTTTTGTTTGAAATTGCAGAAATGTCTTAGGATATTTTTTATTCCTTTATTTAAATTATTTAAATTTATATTCTTTATATAAATTGACATATAATATTATGTAAGTTTAAAGCCTATAGTGTGTTAATTTGATACACATATATTGTAAAATGATTACCACCATAGTGTTAGCTAATGCTTCCATCAACTCACATGGTTACCATTTCTTTTTTTGTGGTGAGAACATTTAAGATCTCTCTTAGCAACTTTCAAGTATATATTACAGGTTTGTTTACTATAATTATCATCCTTACATTAGTTCCCCAGAACTTACTCTTCTGATAGCTGGAAGTTTGTACCCTTTAACCAACATCTTCCCATGTCCTTCACCCCCAATTTTGGATAACCACCATTCTACTCTGTTTCTTTGAGTTCGGCTCTTTGCCCATATGAGTGATATCATCATACAGTATTTGTCTTTTTCCATCTGACTTATTTCACCTAGCATAATGCCCTCAAGATCCAACAATGTTGTCACAAATGGCAGGATTTCCTCCTTTCGTGGCTGAACAATATCCTATTGTATGTATGTACCACATCTTCTTTATTTATTAACCCATTGATGGACACGTGGGTTGTTTCCTTGTCTTGGCTATTGTGAATAATGCTGCAGTCCATGGGAGTGCAGGTATCTCTTTGAGATTCTGATTTCATTTCCTGGGGATATATACCCGAAGTGAAATTGCTAGATCATATGGTAGTTCTGTTTTTAATTTTATGAGGAAACTCCATACTGTTTCACATAATAGCTGTACCAATTTACATTCCCCTCAACAGTGCACAGGGGCTTCCTTCTCTCCATATCCTAACCAATACTTGATATCTCTTGTTTTCTTTTTTTTCTCGTCTTCTTGAAGATAGCCATTCTAACAGATGTGAGGTGATATCTCATTGTGGTTCTGATTTGCATTTCCCTGATCTGTGCTGTTGAGCATCTTTTTATGTTGGTCATTTGTATATTTTCTTAAGAAAAACATCTATTCATTTCCACTGTTCATTTGTAGTTGAATTGTTTTGTTTTTTGCTAATGAGTTATATGAGTCCTTTATATATTTTGGATGTGAACCCCTTATAGAAATATGATTTGCAAATATTTTCTTCAATTCTGTAGATTGCCTTTTCATTTTGTTGAATATTTATTTTGCTATGCAGAAGCTTTTTAGTTTGATTTAATCCCACTTACTAATTTTTGCTTTTGTTGCTTTAGCTTTTAATGTCATGTCCAAAAAGTCATTGCTAAGACCAGTGTCCAGGAACTTTTCCCTTATACTTTCTTATAGGAGTTTCCTTCTAGTCATATGTTTCAGTCCTTAATTCATATTGAGTTAAATTTTGTGAGTGGTGTACGATAGGGTTCAATTTCATTCTTCTGCATGTAGTTATCTGGTTTTTCTAAAACTATTTATTGGAGAGATTTTCCTTTTCCTATCAAGTATTCTTGGCTCCCCTGTGAAATATTAGTTGACAATAAATGCAAGCATTTATTTTGGGACTAATTCTGTTCTCTTGGTCTATGTGTCTATTTTTATACCAACACCATACTGTTTTAATTACTGCAGCTTTGTAGTATAGTTTGCAAGCTAGAAGTATAATGCCTCCAGCTGTGTTTTCCCAGGATTACTTTGGCCTTTGAGGGGGGTGTGTCTGTGTGTGTGGTTCTGTACAAATTTTAGGATTGTTTTGTCTGTATCTGTGAAAAATATCATTGGAATTTTGAGAGACTGCATGGATTTGGGTAGTAGGCACATTTTAACAATCTTAGTTCTCTTAAAAAGTTTCTCTTAAGCCATCTGATTGAATTTCAATGATGTGCCCATGCTGATGTAGTTGCTCATATGTTTTGATTAGAGAAATATGAAATATTCCATTTTTGAGATATTTTGCCTTGTAGGGCTATTTGTTAATTGATTCAACTTATTAACAAAAATCAAACTTTGAGTTATCAGTCCTATTCTGAGTGTGGATTGCATGATGGATTGCACCAGTATTTCTACTGGTGACATTAAAGTTATCACTTTTTCTTTTGTTATGCACTCGATTATAAATCTCAGAGGGTATCATAATTATTTTATTTCTGATCTGAGAGTATAAAAGAAATATTCCATTGGTGAGGTATAGTTTCTTTCCCATCTTCTATATTCTAGAACGATATTAAAATAATAAGATATCATATCTGGTCATGGTAAGATGGAGTATCATTGAAATAGTAGATTAGAATATGCAAATGATTGAACGATCAACTAACTTTTATTGTAATCTAAAGAAAAATATCTCATAGATACAATCCATGTTATTTTGCTTTTTTTTTCTTTTTAAAACACACGCTTAACATTTCAAAACTAATCACAGAAAAATAAAGTCAGTAAAGATTCAGTAAGTAACATACCTAAATATGGAACTTGGCATAACTAGATATCTTGGTTTTTTGGTTGTTTATATAACCAGTTCAGAACATTTAACCTTTGTTGGAAAGTGAAAATAGTCCATGATGAATTCCTGTGGCTTATACAATATTGCTGCCTTTGTAACAGGAATGGGAGTGGTTCTATTTTTCTCTTTCTTTCTCTATCTCTCTCTCTTAAAATATTTGTTTAGGTTTAAATCACTTGATTAAAAAACACTTTCTTTTCTAAAAAGAAAATATACTTGTTGAGTACATTAGGAAAAACAAAGTGGGATGTAGGTTATGATCAATGTTTAGGTTCTTGGAGATACTTCGTTAATTCAGGACTAATATTAAACTGTAATTGATAGTGCTTACTTTTGGATAGAGATTATTTTAAGCTTTCTCAAATTCTAATTAAAACATTTGTCCCTATTTTTCCAGATACAGAGAAAGGGATAATTTAATAGATTACTTTAATAATAATGTTAACACATTAATGGTAGAAATGTGGCCTCCTAGAAGGAGTTTTCTGACCATAGAGCACCTATAAGATACGGATTTTTTCACAAAAAGCATATTGCTTAATCTTTTCAGTATTTCAGTTTAGTTTCATTGCTTAACCTTTTCAGTGTTCTTATCTGTAAAATGTAGGTAATAATTATTTCCCAGAGTCCTTTTGAGGGAGGGACCTACCATAATTCCTGGTAAATAGCAATTAAAAATTAGAAGCTTCTTCACTCCATAGTCCCAACCTCACATATATATTAGACATACACACAAACACAAGTGGGTATCAACTTATTTCTTTAAAAAAAGAAATAAAATGTGAATTGGCTTTTGAACACTGAATAAAACTAATTATTTCTAATTATTCATAAATATAGCATAGAAGAGACTGGTTGGAAAACATATCACTATAATTTAAAATATATTAAAGAATGTAATGCTAGTATTCGAGATCAGAGAAAGTCCTCAAAGGTTGCTCACCCTGTTCACAATACCTAGAATGCCCTTGTCTCTCTTGTCTGTCCTTTCTTTCAACTTCTTTCTCTAACCTGACAGATCCCATCCCATCTTTTGAAGACTCTCTCAGAAATCCTCTTCTCTGAGAAGCCTTTCTGGGTCCCCCTACCTCCTGCCAGCTTTGATTCACCCTTCTCTAGATTGTTGTTCCTATCACAGAATAAGCATTTAATAAATGTGAATTCTTCAAACAAACCTAAATGTATTCTATCTCTGATTCAGCTATATCTTTGATGGAATGAACTTTCTAATATTAAAATACAATATTTTAGTTTCGAATGCTAATATTAATGTATCATTCACACTCCTATTTTTTTTTTTGTTTTTGATTCTAAATACCATCCCTCAAAAAAGCATGTATTTATAACTTCGATTTAAATAAAATTACATTGGGATATTACATTGTCACAAATCGTGGAAAGGATGAACTCATGTGAATTCAATATGTAAAGAGCTAAGAATAATTATATATACAGTGTTATTTCATAATGAACATAAATTTGGAATGTATAACCAATAAAATGTCCCAGAATGTGTTTTTAGTTGAGAAAGACATAGTTGGGGATTATTTGTGTTGTTGTAGATAGCGGAAGTATGATTTAGGGCAGTTACTGTTTATTTTTGTACGTCTTGTTTGATTAAAGAGGCAGTAATAATAATTTTAAACAAGATAAAAGTTTTCCCAGACATTGTTGGTATGGTTTCCTGCTTGAAAACATCAACTAAAAAATGTTTATCTCCTTTTTTTCCCACGATTTTATACTACAATGAGGATTAAGAATTTAATAAAGAAAAGCAATCTGTGACTATTGAAGAGAACTATTATGCGGGAAAAAGTTAAAAATATTTTGAATTTTATAAAGTTACAAATTTGACCTCTTTTAGGAGAAATAAACTTCAAAGAAATATAGATTTAAAGGAAATTTAACCCAATACATTCCTTTCTTCTGTGTTTAAACATTCTTTTTCTCTTTTCTCTTCCTTTCCCTCCCCCTCCCCCTCCCTTTCCCCATCCCCTCTTCTCTCTGTGGCTTTCTCACTAGACCTCAGTTCGGAGAACAGTTACACCAATAGGCTACTTCAGATCAAATTTATGAGGCTAAAATAGTGTCTTAAAGAGTCTTAACTTTATTTTTTGAACTAAGAGGTAGTAGCGTTCTAGCATGATTGGGCATGTGTGTGTGCACATGTGCGTATTTTAAAAGGCTCCAGTTATGCAAAATTTCAAAGTTGGTGGCTTGAATATCATTTTATATTGTAAAATCTATGCTGAACAGATCTTTTTTTTTGTATCTGTAGGGCAAGGCAATAATTATATTAATTACCTAAAAATGAAACTCACATACATTTTACACCATAGTTCCCAGCCGAAATGAATTGCGTGCTAACAGCAGTTTATATTTAATTGGCTAGGTACGAAAAGAGTATGGGAAATGCCTGCGAACACATTGTTGCAGTGGCAAAAGTACAGAGAGTTCCATTGGCTCAGGGAAAACATCTGGTTCTCGAGCACCTGGACGCTACTCCACAGGCTCACAGGTAAATATTTGTTCATTAAAATGAAATATCTCTTACCTGTATTCTGTCACGAGTTGCTGTCCTTTCTTGATCAGAACTATTTTCTACCCCAAGTGTTTACTCCATCAAATTTGTTGTTGTTGTTGTTGTTTCAGTGTGTCAAATAGGAATGATTATGACAAATATCTCAAAAACCACACTGCGCTAAAGTTATGAAATAATGCTTGCATAATAATTATTTGCATAATAATTAATGATTTCAGATTATCCCTAGTTGAATGAATAGAGGAGATGACAAAAGGAATTTGGCACATTACCCAAAAATTCTAAGAAAGTAATATTTTACATACATGATTCTTAAGGAAATTACCTCTTTTAGCCAGTGTAATAACTCTGTGTTGCATACTGAACACATGTACTTATTAAATGGTATGTTCAGTAAAAACAGTCCTAACTAATATGACTTGCTGACAAGCTGAAGACGGCTCAGGGCAGCGAAGGATACCATCATAGCATCATGGACTTAACTGCTCCACGTACTGCTCCCAGCTGCCCGGCACTCGATGTGGCCATGGCGTTGGCTGTCAACCTGGGGAGCCATAAACCTCCTCGTAACTTTCAAGTAACCTGTCTGCCATTTTTCCCCGGCCATGGTGTGAGTCCAAAGATGATTAGGTAGAGGTTTCAGCAACTTGACGATGCTAAAATGAGCCAGGGAAACAAAAGACAGCATTATGTGGGCCATGAGCGAGTTTGAGTTCAGACTAGCCGACTAATATTTTGAAGATTTCCTGATCCAGTGGGAAAACCAATCATTTTTTTTTTCAGTGTTGTCAATTGATTTCGAAAGAAGACTTAAAGTTAGTAAACGTGTAAATCAGGAACTTAGTTTTTTTCTTAAGCCTTTAACTCTGCATCTTAATTTTTTTTTTGTAAATTTGGTAATTTTGTATAAAATAAGAAAGATCACTTCAGGTGTTCTTTGTTCAATGCTTAATTGTTTTGTAAACTCAATAGATTAAATTTCCCAACAATTCCATTTATAGGCTTAGAAAATTAAATACCCTTGACTTTAAATATCATTTACAAACATCATATATCTGATTCTCTCACATTCACTGTCAGACTAGACAGTTGTACACCCCTAACTAGCACCTGAATGACTCTTACAAATGAAAGATAATGAATAATGTTCTTGTAAAGAAACACTTTCCTCACACTGATGGAGTTCTCTTCTATCTTCTGAGTAAAACCACATGTAATCTTTTAATCTAACATTTCTAACTAAAATTTAAACTGAATGTATAACTGTCAAACTGTCCGACTGTTAATACTTAAATTAACAACCACAAGTTATCATAATAAACCTGAAACTTATACCTACATATAATACACACTTATTAATAGTTTGAATTTTATTTATTATTTCTATACCTTACTGAGGTTACAATGTTGCAAATTAGGGGGAACAGATGTACCAGGGTAGGTGGGCTGAGATTTCTGAGTGTAGGACTACTAAACTGGTCAGTTAGAAATCTGAAGTCTCACATAATTGTAGGGTACACCTGGATGATGCTTCTAGCGTGAGGCCCTTAGATTCCACACCTTTATTTTCAAACTGATAATCCTTACCTCCACAGCTTTTAAACTGAAATCGCTGAGATCCTGTATGTCATCCAGCTTCATTAGTTCCTACATGCTTTTCATATAGCCGAGCTCAGCAACCACCATCCCGTCGTCATTTGACAAATGCCGTTAATGAAACAATACTATTTGGAAGTTTATGTATTATGTTACAACAAAGTTGTGTAATGTTTAGCAATACTGGTAAGCTAAAAGATAGGGCAATGCAGGTTAAGAGAATAATCATAAGCTTGCTGTGTGGATAGCCCTTGGTTTGAATTCTAGTCTTGGCATGTACCAGCCATGACACAAAACAAGTTACCTAATATCATTGACCCTCAGTTTTTTCATCTCTAAAGTGGTGGTGATGATACTTATTTCTTACGTTGTTAGGAAGATTGAGATAATGTATTCAAAACACTGAAAACAAATTGTAAGTACTCAACAAATGAGAGCAGCCATCACTTAATAGTGTCATTATTAAAGAATATAATTTCAGATATATATTTTAAAGCTGTATCATATTTTTTCTTTGCTTTTACAGTTCTCATGTCACAATTCTAGTCTTCCAAAAAAAAAAAAAACCTTACATTGTTTTCTTATGCTTAATATAATACTAATTCTGATTAACTATGACAATCCAACCCTACATAAAGTAACAGGTACTTAAATCCAGTCTGTTTAGGTAAAAATAATCAGTGTATTTCATATTAACTATGACCTTCCATAGTCTAAAATAGTCACTGATATTAAGGTAAAATTTTGGACTATGGATGCCTTTTCCACATCAGAGAACTTGTAAAATAATAATCTCTGTATGTTTTATTTTTTACTAAGAAATATTGAATATCCTCTATATAATGGCAATCTTCTACGCTCTGGAGGTACAGTAGTTAAAAGACAACTTCTTCTGTGATCTGGAGCTTTCATTCCAGTTGTGGGAGACAGAAAATTTATTAACAAACCAATGGAAAATATCAAATTATGAAAGCTGGTAGAGATCCAAATGTAGTGATTTGACACAGAAAGTACAGGTGGCTACTTGGATTAAGTGCTGGAGAAAGACTATTTTGGAAGATGATATCGACACCAAGATTCTGAATGACAGGAAGGGAATTCAGGGGAAGAGAATTCCAGGTGAGAGAACTCTAATACAAAGCCTTTAAGGTAGGGGACGACTTGCAAACTCAGGAAGGGAAAGAATGTCATTGGCTAAATTGGGTGACAGTGAATGGGAGATGAAGTCAAAGGAGAAGGCTAGAGATGGATCAGTAATGATTTATAAGAGTATGCAAATTTAGATTTTATTTTGGTTACTTTAGAAAGCCAATAAGATGATTTAGAAAAGGAAGTGGCCAGAGATCATCCACGTATAATAAAGATCATGTGGCTTCTGTGTAGATAATGGAGGAGCATGACTGGCAAGACTAAAAAGTGAAAATCCTCTCCACATGTTGCTCCCCCATACTTACTTCCTGGTGCTAATAATCACTTATAAAAGCTTGGTAATAACCATAATCACACAGATATTCACAGACATGTATAGGATTGGTTTGTATTTATGTGTGTTTATAAAAACAGTGGACTAAAGTATTGTCCTTCCCACTTCGACCTTTCTTTCTTTAATTGTTCTGCCATTTATTTTTTGTTTTATTGACTCTGTAGATGCATTTACATTTATCATATGATATTTGAAACATAAAACAATGTATGTAACATCTATTAAATTATGAAGTATACTAGTAAAATGAACACCTGTGAATTGAACATCCAACTCAGGAATTGAACATTTTTCCATATATTTTCCCTTCTTGAAAACTCTCCCTAATCAGTTCCTATGCCTGCAACCAGAAGACTTTTGTTCTTCATTTCCCTGATGTGTTCTAATAGTTTCTCCACCTCCAAAAAAGGTGTTTAGTATTACTTTTTAAAATCTTTTTTGGGGGGCACCTGCGTGGCTCAGTTGTTAAGCATCTGCCTTCGGCTCAGGTCATGATCCCGGGGGTCCTTGGATTGAGCCCCGCATCGGGCTCCCTGATCAGCGGGGAGTCTGCTTCTCCCTCTCCCACTCCCCCTGCTAGTGCTCTCTCTCTCTCTGACAAATAAATAGATAAAATCTTTTTAAAAAATCTTTTTTTGAAGTGGTATATTATTGTATGTAGTCTTCTGTGACTTGCTTTGTTCACCCCCACATCGTCCTGGTTCATTCCATGAACATTTAAGTGTTGGCTCTCTGCTACATAATGTATACTTTTCCTCTGCCTGCAATATTTTATCTTTTCCTTTTTCTATTCATCTATTATTTGACATAGTGTAGTGAACTGTTAAGCTCCTAGATCAGGAGCCAGTTGAGTGGATTGGTTTTGTCACTTAATTAAGTCTGTGACATTGGACATGCTAATTAACTTCTGAACATCAATTTTCTAATGAATAAGAGTACTTGACTAAAGGAGTTGTTGTGAGATTTCAATGAGTGAATAAATGAAGAATTACATAGTATAGAGCCTAGAACATAGAAAGAATTAATTGAAGTGTTTAAAGATTTTACATATAAGATACATATTTTATGTATTTTATGTAGGCCTACATATAATATTTATCTTATACCAGGTATTATTTCAGGGTGTGACACATCAATAACAAATAATAACAATAACAATAAACAAGAAAGACAAAAGAACCTCAAATCTAGTGTAGACATTAGACATTAAATATTGAACAGTATAGGGCGCCTGGGTGGCTCAGTTGGTTAAGCGACTGCCTTTGGCTCAGGTCATGATCCTGGAGTCCCGGGATCGAGTCCCACATCGGGCTCCCTGCTCAGCAGGGGGTCTGCTTCTCCCTCTGCCCTCTTCCCTCTCTTGCTCTCTGTCTCTCATTCTCTCTCTCTCAAATAAATAAAATAAAATCTTTTAAAAAAAATATTGAACAGTGTATATAAATACTAAGAAATAAATACATTATAATTATAGGTCATGTTGTATAAGATGATAATGACTATGGGAGGAAAACAGCAGGGTTAGGTGGGTGGAATAGAAGAATAGGTCTCTTTAAGGAGAAAATATTTGAGCAAAAATTTAAAGAGATGGAGTTATCCATACGTGTATCTAGGGGAAGAACACTTCAGGCAGAGGAAACATTTATCCCAAGCCTGAGGCAGAAGCATGCTTGGCTTGTTGAGGAATGGCAAGAGAACCAGTGTGGCTAGCCCAGGTTAGGGAAACTAACAGAAAATGAGGTAATGGGGGAAGCTCATGTAAATGTCACCTAACAACGATCATAATTCCATCAAATCTGTTAAGATGTCACTTCTTCAGTGGGGTCTCACAGACTTTGTAGCCAAAGACATATGCCTTCATTATGTGCACATTTTTTTTTTTTTAAATTATGTAGTCTAACAAACATTAACAAAAGTACACAAAATATAGGTGTATGCACAGTGATTCATTACCCCTCCCTGGGTCAAGTATTAGAATGTTGGGAATACCTCAGAAACCCTTGGAAACTTTCTCCATCATTCACCTCTAATGTAACCACCATCTTAACTTTTAGCAGTACATTTTGTTCTGCATGTGTTTGATACTTATTCACATGAAATCATCCAGTACCTATTCTCTTCTATTTTCTTTCTTTCCTCAGGCATCTATGTTGCCGCAGGAGGCTTTGTTGCTTTTTTATTGTTATTGTTGTATATTGTTCTATATATCCATTTTACCATTGACAGTCATTTGGGTTTATAGTTTTCAGCTATAATAATTAATGGTTCTATGGAGATTTGTGGGCACATTGTTTACTTTGGCTTTTATTTTTGTGATAATTTGTTGTGTCTATCACTTAACCTAATCTAGTAGCTCCATGAAGACAAAGATATTTTTTGTTTGCCTTTTCCCTTTGTATCTCCTAGAGTAGCTTCTGGCATGCAGTAGAGGGTAATTAATATTTTAATTAATTGATTGATTAATTAATTAATAAAACAAATGTGAGAGAATTGTTTCCAGTATTTCATTTTGAAGTTTTGAAGTATTTTTTGATAGAAATATTTCTCAAGTGCTCAGGATTTATAATTTCTTATTTTTTTATTTAATTTTTTTTAATCTCTTTTATTTTATTTGTGTATTTTAAGTAGGCTCCACACCCAACGTGGGGTTGAACTCATGACCCTGAGATCAAAAGTCACATGTTCTCCCCACTAAGCCAGCCAGGCGTCCCTCTAATTCTTTGATTAGTTTTGTTCTGTATGTGTGTGGGGGGTGTGTGTCTGTGTGTGTACTTGCTGACCTAAAAAAAATATATAGACAATATTTCTGAAGAATAAACATGTCCCAAGATTTATAAAACAAATTGTCTAGTATTTTAAGATTGAATACTCCTATTATTCAAGGAGTTCAAATATATTTGGAGCATAATCCATTTGTGAGCTTGGTTTTGCTACTACCATTACTAGTAGTAATAGTTCTTAAAATTATTTCATCCTTGGAAAAGCTGAAAATATGTTGTTTCTCCTCACAGGATTGTTAATACTTTTTTGATCCCTAACTCAATAAAATAACAGAACAATAAACCAGAAAAAAAATCTCCTCCTCCCCAAATGAAAAAATACTACGCCACTTTCTTCAATTATCTGACACTTAGAAAACTGAATTTGAGAATATAAACAATGATGTAAGAATTTTCAGTTCTCGATAAAACTACCTACTGTGAAGAAGTGAATAAGGGTGAATTGTCTTCCTTTATCTCCTTCAAAAGAAAGAAAAGTTAAAATCATATGTAACCTGTAAAATTACACTGGTCTTACAAAATACATGGAAGATGTTAAGTTTAGTAGCATTTTAATAATACTGTGTTCTTTTCTTACCAAACTTTTTCTTTCTTGCAAGTTTCTGAATTCTTAAAGTAAATCTTTTGTTAATAAAACTGACAATTTAATACATATTTAAATACCCCATTCCCTTAAAAGTTACAATGAAAATAATTTGTTTCACTTTAGAAACTAAAATTATTAAATTCTAACCATCTAGAGTACATGTCTATATATCTTCAACATGTTTAAATTGGTATAGTACATTACATTTATTGCTTTTTCATAGTTACAATTATTTTTGGTATAAGCATTTAGGAATACACTTAATGAGAACCAATTTATCACTAATTTAGTTTCTGATGTTCTTGTGCTACTGTCCTGCAAGCACGTAGAAGTTATGTATTTGCCAGATGCCAGAAACAAGGTCTCATATAACTATGACAGGAAGAAAAAGAATGATTTGTGTGAAAATTCACTGCCCGGTGAGTTCATTTCCGTTTTTCCCTTTCCCCCATCCAGAGCCGAATTCGTAGAATGTGGAATGACACGGTCCGAAAGCAGTCAGAGTCTTCCTTCATTACTGGAGATATAAACAGTTCAGCGTCACTCAACAGAGGTAATTAGAAATGATTTTTCATATTTATTACTTTTGTGATTAAGAAGTTCTTAACTGCATTGCTTTTTTTGCAACTTCTGGACCTTGTTCCATGTGATAGGAATATTGCAAGGTTATAAAACATGGTTGACTGTAGCAGTGTGTTCCATTATTCATAAGCCTTTTTTTTTCCAATCCTGAATTTTCAGGAAATCTTTTCTGAAAAGAAGTTAGACAACGAGAACTTTCTTTTTCTAGTCATCTGCCACTGTAATAAACTGGTGAGCTGTCAGGCCTCATTGGAAGCAGTGAAAATGGGCAATTATGTGGCTGTATAGTCTACTAAGCATCATAGAGTTGCACATTGTCCCAGGCATAGAGCAATTTCATAGTCTTTGTGGAAGTAAAAAATATACTGTCTAATACATACTTGAGGCATCCTGTATATTTGGGGTAAAAATCACAAGTAATTTTAGTATCTACAAACTTATCCAGCATATTTAAAGATCTAGGAGGAAAAAGAATATATATATAATGATTTTTGTGTGTTTATGTGCTTCTGGTTATCATGTTCCTAGGGCATCATTTCGATTTTTAAAATGAAGTTTCCTTAATCTACTGTTTGGCTCGTGGTTGTTTTTTTTTTTTACTTCTTCTGTCTTTCTTTCTCCTTCCCTCCCTTTTCTTCCCCCCCCCCCTCTTTTTTAGTGTATGTGGGGTGGCGGAGGAGTGGGGAGATTAAGTTGATTGCAGGAAAAATGAGTAGATGCTATATTTGTGTAGAGTTAGGGTACACTACAGACATTGCTGGGGAATATTTAGAATATAGTTTTATCTGGAAAGATGGTGTTTGCATGAGCTTATTCCAATCAAACTGTCCTAAGAAAGATATTTTTGATGTATATATTCAGTAGTTATTTTTATGATCAACATTGTTTTTTTTTTTTCCTATCCCCAACTAGGATTTTAGTTCCACTTAAACCCGTTTCTCTCAGCTTTTTGTTACATTAAACACTACTTAGAAACAAATAATTTAACAATCACAGCTTATGATTCAGAAAAATTCAGATGCTGGTGCTGTCAATTACTTTTGCTCAAGTAATTTCCATCTTATTTTCATAAAAGAAATTAGGACAGATAGTGTCCAAGCTGAATTTGATATAGGGATCCATGTTACACATAATCTTAATTGACTTTCATATGTTATTTGGGACAGTTATATAATGGCCATAACCTAGTAATGATATTAAATTTTCTGTATCACTTTTGCCTAAGGAGGAACAGTGAGTGCAAATATTCCTCCAAATATAAAGAAAATACACTAAAACACCTACCTTCTTATATTTTGTTTCATTATTAGTCTGTTTTTATTTGCTAGATTTTGATTTACATATTATTCTCCAAATATCCTTCTCTTTTTCAAGTTTAGTTTTAATGGTTAGTGTGTGAAAATTTATTTAAATATGAATACTCTAACTTTTGACATATTTTCCAAATCATAGAGAACGAATTACTTACAAATGCCTCCAAAGTTTAGGAACCTATTTGCTTTCATAGTGATAGATTTTGTTTATTGTCTAATCCCATAAATGGAAAATTTACAGTATGTTCCTAGATAGAAAGCTACCCTTATGAATAGGATTTATTATTAGGAGTATATTGCATCTAATGAGCACAGCAACTATCGAACAATTGTTGTTTAAACAAAAGATGAGATCATGTGATTTTAATGATGCACTGTTTATTTGCCTACTGTGAAGATGGTTAAAATATGTAAAATTATTTTTTACAACATGTAAAATTATTATGTTGTCTAGCATTATGATCTAAATTCATGTAAAGATTGTAAGGTATGTGACTTTACTAAAAATTGTTTTAAATGGACACATTTTTGTGACCTTGATTTTAAGGTCACTCACATATAACATTGCTGTGCCTTTTTAGTTCATTCTCAAGAACTTCATCAACTTGGAATATGTGATATGTGGATGACTGGGTCAATTTGAAATATATTTAGAGAAAATAATAATATTTTATATTGACTGATCATGTGTTTAAATCTGGTTTTAAAGTCTTTAGTTTTAAAAGTATTTCTTAAAGTTACTCTTGAAGAAGGGTATACAATTTCTTGTGACATCCAATAAGTTACCCTAACGTTGACTTTGGAGAGGGGGTTAAATTGAATTTATGATTTGAAGTGTGTCCAGGCAGGGGTCTTTTCCTTCAGGATATGTAATCTTCTTTTCACTCATTGACTTTAATGGTGGTAGACATCGTAGTGATCTTCTTGATTTCCCATATTAATTCCTTATTCCCCCAAGTCAGAACTCCTCGATTTATTCTCATCTCATTATTTTTTATCTCAGATACGTGGAGTAGTTTAAGATTTTATTTCTTCATATTATATCTCTGAAGATAGTCTTTAACCTCCTTCTTTAATCTTGTCTTATTTCCCAGGGTCCTATCTTCCCTGCATTCAGGCGTGTGTATCATATTTAGGTAGGTGAAATCCAAGATTCACCTTTCCAGATAAACACTTCAGTCACCTCAGCAACATACTTATTCACCTCTGTTTAATCAAAAGATTATATTCTCTATTATAAAAATAAAAATTCTAGGCACTGCATCTTTGCATCTTCATATAGTCTAACTTCCCATTCATTCTCAGTTTCTCACAGCTAGCAATTTTTTGTTCATTTTAAACCCCATTTTCCTTCTTTCTAAGTTAGATCTATTAAATCTCTTATTTTTGTCTTTAGTTCTGGCCTCAAAAACTATAAGAAGTTGTCTAAAAATTAATCCTGTATCTACTTTAGGTTTTCTTTCCTATTCATACCACTGCTCAGTTCATCAAAAGAATAATTATTTTACAGTTCTGTATGTCTTACCATCTATTCTTCCAAACAAAAATGTGTCATTCTCATCTTTGGGATCCATTAAGAATAAAGCATCTACCATATAGTACAGAACTCCTTCTCAATGGTTTTTATTTTTTCAAACCATCTTTAATATTCTGTTCTTGAACCAACTTGTTACAGCCTATGTATCAGATTACCTGTGTAGATTTCCCAGTGTGATAAGCTTGATTGCTTTTGTGATTTTATTCCTTGGAATTATGCAAAACCTTGGAAGATTTATTGATAATTTTCAATTTGTGTAATCATTCTTATATATTCTCTTTGGTATTTTGTTATTTGGTTACCTCATCTCTTTAAAGCATTCCATTACACATTCCATTCCATTTGTCCTTTGAATATCTGTATTTGTGAAGGTGTTTTCCAGATGTTCCCTATACGTTGTAAGATATTTTTTCCCCTTCTGAATTATTTGCTACAGTGCTACTCACTCAAGTAAATTAAGAATTCCTTGAGGCCGGTACCCCAGGACTACGATCACATTAACTTCTCTGATGCCACTTTCATACACAGTCAGAAGGAGGTTTTCAAGAGCATTAATGTGATAGTTGATTATAGAAAGTTTTAAGGAGGATTAACTCTGATCCAAACTCAAGGTTTTACAAATGCCACAGGAGGGTTTATTCATTTGCTCATTTAAATATTTACTATTTGCACATATCTTGAGGTCAATCCTCCATCCCCCCGAGCTTCTCCCAGATTTTTAGAAACCTTACCCAAATTTCTAGTAGTTCTAACTTCCCAGTAGTGGTAGAAACAATTTGTAGCTGATGTAATCTTTCCGACTCATATCTCCAACTCACAATCTCTGCTGGCCAAACCTCATCCTGAACAATTTAGATTAGGGATGCCTCTAAAACTTGAATTTGATCCCCAAATGAAGCATTTGCTGGGAAATTTCTCTGGTAGTTCAGTTAATGGTTAAACATTTCTGTTCTTTTTATAGATCTATATAGAAATTGGGATATTTTCTGAAATTGGATTTTATTAGGCTTTATCTCATCGTGAATAATATAATTGCATTTCCCATTTTCTTTTTATTTAATTAGCTGAATTGACACCAGAAATTTCAGCTTAAAATCAAGTTTTGCTTGGTAGCTGCTACCAATACGATGTAAGAATTATGAAAAGTGTTCCACTCCAACCTCCTCCCCAACTGTGGAGTTATTATAAAAATGTGACCCATCTTAGTGGCAGAATTAGCAAAAAGACATTTCTTCTTCTGAAACAATAGCTTGGCTAGCATAGTGGATTTTTATGTCCCCCTATCTCCCATCCTCCATCTCATCAACCTCCCACAGAAGTTAATGCAATTTTTATACATGGGGATCTGACCAGTAAAGCTTTATTTATTTAAGCCAAATCTAAGTGTTGTGTGACTGAAAACTGTCTCTTCTGTTGATGTGCAGCACATATTTATTAAAGTTGATGGATTCTCCTTTCAAGGTTCAGATTCGTATTAGTCTACACATGCATTCTCAGTAAATTTATGTAATCAGCATAATTATGATGGCCTATGGCAATCTTTTCATAAATTTTAAGGGTAAATCTTGGCTCTCAGTGGCACAACTACCTACTGAAAGGTGGCCTCACCTTTTAGGAACATTGTTGATTTAAAGGGGAAAGTCATCATCAAACAGACTTTGCAAATTGTTTATTTACTCCTAGTAGTTTTGAGAATGGAGTTTAACTCAGTGACTTTTGGTAAATTACTTATATTCTCAGTGTCTATGCCGTGGGGATATAGAAAGCACCCACTTCACAGGGACCTTGAGAAGACTAAGTGAGTTTATATATGTTAATTCCTTACTACAGTGCCTACAAAATAATAAGTACTCTTATCATTATTTTATTTAGAAGTTCCCTTACATCTTCTAACAAATGAAAACTGATCTTTGCCAGTGCTCTCAGATAATTAGATATTAAAATTCATCATTCACTACTGAAGGTTTTCTTTCCTTTTTATTTTCTAATAATAGGTGGGAAGAATAAAGTAGTTACCTGAATGCCAAGTAAAAGAAATAATAATTTACCTAAAATGGTGCTACCCTTGAGGCTAACAAAAAGAGATAAACTAATAAAACTGAATTGTCTCTTCTAAATTAG